GCAGCCCCAAGTTTATTATATATATAATACAGATAGTCAGAGAATAGCAATCAAGGAGATGGCATGGTGTGTGGCATAGTTTCTGGGTTGGGGCTTGATTTTGCTTTAAGGTCATACCTGTAAAAGAACCACAGGGGTATTTTTGGCAAGCTTATGCAGGGTGAGTCTCATGATTAATTATGTAGATTAGAACCTAAACAATAGCCACAATCATTGGACATTATCACATGCTCTGAGAAATGGAAATTATACTAATTCTCCCTGACAATTTATGTTTTATTTGATAAAAAGATCAATGTGAACTCATCCAGTAAAGCATTAGCCAGTATTCCCGCTGTTTGCCTCTTTATTGTCACAATGTAAGATAAAATTGGGATGAAAAAAACAAAAAAGAATGTGCTGTGTTTTAGCGCCTGATTAGCTTAGTGCATTAACCTATTATTCCACTTGGACTTCCTTGATTGTATTTCATTGTCTAACTGGTACCTTAAACATCACATCCCCACCAAAACAGCCACCTGTGCAGAGATCTTCTCAGTCTCAATCACTGCTTAAGGTAAAAACATGGTCTGTGGACACCAATGTTGGTGTAATACTGTATACATGCTTGTAATGCTTTGGGCTTGTAAATTTGAGAAAAGGGCAATCAAAAATGACCAGTTTCTTAAACACGTTGACCTTTGGCAATTCAGCCTACCAATAAATAAAGTAACTGTACTTCAGTTTTGATGCCATCGTGGAAGAAACCACTTTTCATGCTGTGTTTTGGAAGGTGGGGAAATTTGTTCCCCCTGAATAGCTGTATATCCAAGAATCGCTTAGCAAAGAGAAGATTAAGTGCACACATTAATCCAGGAGTCAGAGCAATCTTGTAATCCACTCAGTATGCTAATTGCCTGTTCTTTCTCCAGCAAAGGGGTTTACAGGCCATTAAATGGCACTGAGCAGTTGACAAAGGATAGCCAAAGACCCTAACCCCCCTCCCCCAGACTCTCCCTCTCTCTCTATTTCTAACTTGGACAGGCAGTTGCACACCCACACAACACTCCACTAAAGAAATATGCAGAATCTGAAAGAAAAAGTGTGGCGCTGTGATTCCAAAGCAGTTATTTATTTTGCAGTGTTAGGCTAGAAATGGCAAGCTGTGCGTCTGTTCCAAGTAGATCTGACAGCGACAAAAGTGAATCTCTTGGTTCTTGAATGAAGTTTTGATCTTCTTGACACTGAAGGGATTTCTTTAGACATTTTCTTCCAGCATACCAACGTCTTATTGTAACATTTGTCCATATCTGGTAAGTAAATAATGAAAGAGAATTGAGGGCTATTGTCTCCATCACAGTCCCAGTCATGCACAACCCTGCCTTCTCCCACTTTGCTCATACAAAAGAGGATCGTACCAAGGTGAAGTAGCGCGCTACTGCCTGTGTAGTCCCCCAAGTGGCCTTGGCAACCTCAACATGATGGATGTTGTTTCAGATTGGGTTTCTCGCTACACTGATAAAGCTGTCTTGTCAAAACACATTCACCAGAAATGTAAGCAGATAAAGATAGTTGCAGATAATTAGAAGATTTGCTTTTTGCGTCATTTGTGGTTCCAACTGCCAAGGAATGGGGCTGTGACGGATGACTCAAACAAGAGAATTCGGCATGAAGCCTGACTGCAAATGTAGCTGGTAATGACCAGAGTGTGTTTTTCAGATGCAGCTAATGAGCATGGCCATTAGACATAAATGACATTTTAAAAACCTGGGGAGTAAGGAAATGAAGAAGTACCCCATAGACTGCCTGTAGGCAGCAAATATGGCAAGAGCATCTGGAGGATGCAGCACTCAGTTCACATAGATGACCTCCATCCAGAGTGCTGCCGCTGTCAGTCAATTCACTGTTGTTAACTGTGAGGATGGAGGTTCATTACAGTGAAACTGACATAACCATTCCCCTCAATATCCACATGGCATCTCAGGGCTCTGTGCAATTGGCACTTATCCTCTGTGTTTGACAGATAATCCTTTTATGGGTATTATTTTAATTTTCTGATGAGCCCATTTGCATTGAATTTTTGCCACTACATGCTTCTGTAGAGAGAGACTGGGGCGATGAAAGAGACAACCGCTTTTACATTGCAGCTTATAGTTTGTGGATATGTTGACCCAGTCTTAACCTACATGCTGCATCTAGATAACAAACCCAGAACAGTGAATGGAAATATTGCACAATAGAAACCACCAGATGGATTTGCTTTCTTCTGTTTAAACAGTAGCTCTCAAACATCTGCCACTAAATCCCAAGAATTTGCAAGCTTATGTTGCAACCAATCACTATGCACCATGATTGATTAGTTACCCATCTCTGGTTGAATTTGTGCAAATCAGGATGAAATCAGATGCTGTAGTGTTTGTGTATAGATTGTGAATATTTTGTGGTAGTCAATCACCACAAAATGCTTAAAACTACTGATTCTGATACTGATTATTTCTTTCTGAAAAGAAAACGTTCTTTTAACATTGTGGCTGCTTCAAAAATCCTGACCCAACTGAACAAAGTTATACATTTCAGATAAGGTTCTTTATTATTGAATAGACTGAAGAATAAACTATTTGTAGGCTTGAACTTTTCATGATAGTATTACTTCAGTAAGGTTCAGTTCTGTCCCTTTGATGAAAGAAATCATTTTCATACTTAAGTTTTTGCTAATGTACCCTTTTACACTCTTTAAGACCATTTCTGTTTTCTTATTCTGTGGCTATGAATAACCCCAGATTTTCAGCTATATCTCAAGGAGCAGGACAGTGGGTGGTTATCTGATGATTGATGTATTTTATTTTTCGTGAATAATTTCAGCCTGATGAAAGTGGGTAAGAGCGGGAAATGTGTTGGCATGGTGATTAGAAATTGATTACAAAAATCCCCCAAAACCTTAAGATTGGAGAATAATAGTTTGCTTTGGAACACTTTTTTTGTGAGTGTGAGTGGGAGTTTCTGCGTATGTGTTTGTTTTTGTGTGTTCGTTGAAGAAGGTTGAGTAACCCTGGTCAAAGGTTGTTTTCCTGAAGTATTTCATGTATTGCATGCCATAGTATGATGACCTTCATCTATTCTCTTGATACCTGTGAGGTATTCTGAGGTGATAGCTTTCTGAATATGAGGGATAGCGGGGTATGATAAAATGCAGATAAGATGTTAAGGTACAACCGTATGTGGGTGGTTGTCTCTCAGGTTGAGAATTTTCCTGGAAGCTATGAAGGTCACAGTGGAAACGGGCTGTGATGAATCTGCTCATACCAACATAATGTTGGCAGTGAAAACCCTTTTGCTTGCTCTAGGAGAGAACTATTTTTCCCACCAAAACATGTAGAATCTCTCAAGGTCCTATTTACCAATTTTTTAAACTCTTTACAATCTCTTAATTTGTTTTAAAGTCAGGGTCTTATTTTTTGGTTGTCTTTCTATTTGGCATATACCAACTTCCTCATTCAGATATGGGAACACAGTGACGTTGCTAAAAATCATGACTAACAGGTCAAGGAATGAGTGAAATGAAACCCAGACTGAAAAACCAACAAACAAAATGTTCTGTTGACTAAAGGTTTAGGTTGTTAGAGGAAGATTTCATTGTTGTATCTTTAACAAAAGCTCCATTTGTTGAGATATTGCTGCACCACACAGAAAATTATTAGCACGAAATTTTACTGTTTTCCAGCCTTGAAAAGTAACAATAAATGATCCAGTAAAGAGTTGTTTAAGGGGCATTTGAAGTTTTGAGTTAAAGCTGTGCTTGGCAACATAGCACAGTGCGTCTGGCTCCAAATAGCAGCTGGAGGTAATTGCTTGAAGGATGAACTTCTAAGTCCAGAAGTTATGTAATGTGATGTTAGTAAACTGCACACAGCATGCCCATGTTGACTAATCCATCCAGTAGGGCTGCACAATTATTATTACTGAATTCTGAATTCACAATACAGCTGTGCACAAGTGCAATATGCAAACCATGGAAGCTGCAATTTTTTGATGAAGGTAAAATATGTGACAAAATAGCGTAATAATAAAGTACTGTAGTGCAGCAGAGATACAAATACAGAGATACAAAAAAGAGATTGAAATAATGGTACAGATCTCCAAAAATGTCATATCATGATTTTAATAGTTTTCAGTGAAATTTAAATTTGTGACATTTTCACTCTATTTGTGAATATCGCAATTGCAATATCTGTCCAAATAACTGCAATATGATGTTTTGACCATATCGTGCAGCCCTACCAATCAGTCTGTGTTCACTTTATATCAGAGGACATGGAAGAGAAAAAAAGAGAAGGATAACATTGGTGAGATTATTTACTGTAAGAGGGATGGGAAACTCTCCTCCAGTGGAGCCACAGTTATGGATTTAAAGTGATAAAATCAGGGTTTTTCTGTGAATATCTCACCTTCTGTAGCCTTAAAATCTACTAATGCAGAGGCACTTAACACGTAACACCCATAAAATAATGTTTTGCAGTACTAATGTATGATAATAGCAGAAAGGATCACTTATGGCAAGACTGGGGCTTTGTATTATTATAATAAACGGCCGGTTGACTGGACGCCCCCCACAGGCGCCCATCCTAAAGCTCCCTCTTTAAACAGGGCCACAAAAACCAACTGAGTGAGGAGCACCTAGCAAAATGAGGTCATCTCCACACATCCTTTGATCCCTCCATTCTTCATCTCAGAGGCAAGTGGCATATAAGAGGATCTATCTTTGTGAACGGTTTTGAGCCCCCAAAATTACAAACAAACTAAAGGCGGGGGATCGATAGAGTGTGTCTCACAGAATGATGAACTGGCACTTCAGAAGGGGAAAATCAATGTCGTGCTCCCTTTCTCTCCCTCTCTTCCTCTGTCTATCTTTCTCTTTGGGTCCTAAACTCTCAGTCCTTATACTGCAGTGTTCACATGTGTGTTGCTCCAAGCAGGGTCTCTCACTGTGATTTAATGGTCCTTTGTTTCTTATTCCTTTTTAGCCTGGAAGACCCCTGCCACTTTGATGTGTGAGCACACCCACCAATAATGGCCCATAGGATACGCAGTGGAAGTAAGTGCTTCTGGTCAGATTTACCGCTTTAGTGGTGCTCCTCCCCCTTCTGCCCCTGTAAACCTCCGCTAATCTGATGTGAACGTATTGATCCATACAACATGGCAATCTTTAAATCATAACATAGCACTTAACATTGAACAACACTGAATCTGCCAAAATGTAACCATCTATGTATTGTAACACATGCCTCGGACAGCGGACTGCAGGGTGTTGGCTTGCTCTTTTTATAGCTCCAGTATGTGTTGTGTATATATATATATATATATATATATATATATATATATACAGTAGCGTTGGAGGCAAAGAGAAGGTGCAGCTGCATAACACAGCTTCTGAAAAATAAAGGGATGTCCATTATATATATCTTTAACATGAAATGAGTAAAGTTCCCCAAGGGTAAAACTGAATTATAGGAGCTCTGTCTAAGGCTATAAATTAATAGTCATACTGTGGCGATCCTTGAGGATCACATTCACAAAGAAAAAGAAAAAAGCATTTTTCTTGTTTCAGTGTTTGTTGACTTCAAAAATGTTTTTGTAATCAAGACATTCTATTCAAAGAAAAAAATAAAAATAAGTTAAAGCTGCTTTTGTGTGTATTTCCCCTCCAAAATATGCTGGAAAAGATTACAATTTGAATAAGTACAGTAATTCCTTTGTGTTTGCTGCTCCGCTGAGAGGTGGAGCTATCGGATTACTGGAGTGTGCATATCTCAGTAGTTGAGAGTTTCACTGAGCAGAGACAGGTTGTGGCTTGGACCTGTATGCATTGTCTTTGCTGAAAAGGAAATGAACGGCAGCTCCTAATCAGATGTGGTAGTTTTTTTCAGTGATTGATAACTTTGTCTGCTCTAACGGCAGCATTGGCAGGTAACCAAACGTTTTTTGGCAAGCATCTGCAAAGCTGTCCAGAAAAAACTTTAAGAATAGCTGATGAATAGTGGCGTGGTTTGAGGGATAGCCATGCCGGTCTGTTGGTCTGTCAGTTCACCGCTTTGGTCTAGACTGAAATATCTCAACTATAGAATGGATTGTCATGAAATTTTGTACAGACATTGATGATGCCCAAAAGGATGAAGCCTACTCACTTGACAACCCTTTCCTCTTGCCCCACCATGAGGCTGTCATTTTTGGTTTTTAGTGAAATTTCTCAATAACTATTGCATGGATTGCCCTGAAATTTGATTGATTGGTTGATACACATAAAGACAAATCAGTGAATTCAGATGTGTAGTGCAGTGTTTATGTTTTTATATTGGGTTAGGGACAGAACAAGTATGATATCATAAATATTATTTTAATTGTGGTGAAAACCGTGAAATTTTTTTTTGTCAGAACATTTTGAAACTGGGACATTCTCGGACAAACCGAGGCACCACTTGACCGTAAGTGTGCTTAAGTACAGCCTCACAGAGTCGCCGTGGCTGTAGAGTCGCAGTCTTGTTTGATTTGCTTAACCAATTTCTTACCCTTGCACCAAAGCAGCAGTTTCCTTATCTGGTGCACGGTGTTTGCATCACATTTTCTTAATGTGTGCATGTATAATGTGCATGCAATTTACATGAGTGGGTGTGTTGTGTGTTTGAAAGCAGTGTGTTGTGAACATATATCGATGTTGGGTGAAGGGAGTGGGAGGGCTAGAGGAGGTATATCTATCTATCTATCTATCTATCTATCTATCTATCTATCTATCTATCTATCTATCTATCTATTTGCCTCTGTTTCTTTGTCTCTCTCCAGGGTTGCAGCCGAGAAGCTGCTGTGTGTCTGTAGTGAAATATTCATAGAACGTGCAGGGAGTTTGACAAGCCACTCTGACACCTCCATACTCTCCACCCTTATTTTCATTTCCTCTCTGGCTCCAGCGCGTTACCTCACAGCTCCCCGAGTCTACCGTTCAGCACCGTACTGTTTGCTCAGTACAGTCATGATGAAAAGAAACCCGCAGCACAAGGCTTTTACATTGTCATACCATATGAAAATGGGATGTTAAAAAAAGAAAAAAAAAAAAAAAACTGCACCTCCACTGGAACATGTTAGCTGAAAAGCTTTAATTTCATAGCTTTCATTACCATTCCGTTGAAGGCTTTCATGCTAAAACTGGCGCTTTACAGTATTCTCTTTAAGATCCTTCTCACCCTGTTATAACACTCTTAGTCTAAACTTGGAATTAATGGAAAATTCAACCTTGGGTGCTGTACGTGACTTCCCACATTTCCCAATATGCTGCACGACATCCCTCAGAGAACTAAATGTACCCAGCAGGATTTCATGTTTAAGATAATTTAAGAGCAATCAGGGTTGTCAAAAGTATGTTTTGCAAGTGTGTTTAAAAGGATTCGTTCACCATTAATTATACATTAGATAGTTTTGAAAGTACAAAAGTTATTAAAAAAAACATCAGCATTCGATTAACTAGTGTACCTGCTGTCCCCCACCCATACAGTCTAATATCCAATGACATGGCTCTGCTGCAGAGACACATAAAAACACAGAGAAAGACGTTATCTGGTATCACGTTGAAGACACAGACATGGTGTATATTTTACAAGCACAGACCAGGTAACAGCCAACAGTGAACACAGCCGGTTTGCTACCAATGTCATTCGATACTACGTTACTTTTGATCATTCCAAACGGCTACGTCAATAACAACAAGACTCCTCCACATGTGGCTCATCTGCTGTTGTGAAAACAGAATTGTGGGTGAAACAGTCTTAAAAAACGAGTTGTGTTTTTGGGTGACTTTATAAAACATACTGCTGTCCTTGCATTAGTGAATGAGAAACAGATATTGAAAAGGTGCTATATTCAAATAAAAATATAACCCACCCCAGTTCCACTGTCATTCTGCGGGAAACACGGTGACAATGGTGACTCTAAAAAGAATTTTGTGACCCTTCCTTAACACACGACAGTTTTGCACTGGAAATACTTTCACATAACTTCCTGTCATCTAAATGTGCACCCTCTCTATCCCTGGAGACAAGAAAAGGATCAAAAAAGGCCTAGAAATTCAAGATACATCCAGTAATTACTTCACATGCAGCAATATCAGCCCATCCCAAGGAATTACATCAATATTGGACAATTATCTTTGGTGTATGGGACATTGGCAGTTTTATTCACTGTAAACCAACCTTCTATAACTTTTACCATGTGTTTTAGTTCCTAACTTCCTAACTATATTTGCCTAACCCCATCAGGATTCTTGTCAGCACTGTTGGAGAAAAGGTGTGGTGGGCCAACTTCACTTCATTCTTATTATGTCGTCCAATTTAAAAAAAAAAAAAAAGCAGACAGTTTATAAATTTCAGCAGCTTAGTAGTAGAACATCCTTGCATGTCAAAACCAGACAAGCTGCTATCTTGACAGCAGGCCTGTTTACATCCAAGGTTTTAGCAGTGAGACAGCATTGATCAGCTCCTTGCTCTCTGCATAATTCTCAGCATCATCCTGCAACAGAATGATTAGCCTCAGGGGAAAAAATAAACAGGAGCGGGTAAAAGTTGCAAATCATCTTTTCATTATATTTTTCTGCAGTCTCCCTCATAAGTCATCACAGAGCTGAGGCCTCTATCTCCAAACTCTGCAGAAATATCAATGTGGATTTAGGAGTCTCCCTGAAGCAAGGTCCTCAGCTAATTAAATCTATTATCACTTTACTGTAAAAACACAAGCAGGAGTGGGGGGTATGTGGCGGTTTAAATGAGGGCCAGTGGAGTTTTATTTAACAAAGACAGCTAATTGGGTCAGAGCTCTTTATCCTCATGAAGCACAGAGGTTTCCAGCCCTCCAATTGGACTGCTTACGGCTCTTTGCTCTCAGAGTTCAACTCCTTCTGAGAGAGTGAGAGGTGGGAAAGAGAGGTTACAGCAAAGACGGAGCAGAGTCACTGTTGTCAAAGCTACACCAAACAAGTATTTTATGTTGTTTTCAGGGTTTGAAGTCAGCTGTACAATGTGGAAAGTAATATGATTCAGACGAGCTCCATGCAGAGAGTGAATTCACTCGTGCGTGAGTGAACGATCCTGCTGCTATCATGTTCATCTCCATAAACAGATATCTCTGTATGAATGCAGAATCTAAAGGCAATAAACAAGATTTTGATATCGGAAGCATTGTGGTTTTCGCTTTTCCATTTGTAGTCTGAGTAGTATTGACGTGGTTGCATGCAGGTAAGCATTCCATGTGGAAACCAAAAGAGGCGGAACGCATTGGCCAAAATGCAATCTTGGAACACAACAGTTATCGTCTCACGATGATTTAACTTTTTAACAGTCTGGCTGTAGATGTCTTCTCTCAACTCCAACTCCATTCTTGCATCTCAAGTCGATAATTGGACTGTAGACAATGACGTGCACATGGAAGAGGAAGTCTTGGCCCAGATATTCATTATCTGGATATCCGCTGGCAACACCGGAAACCTTAAAACACTGGCCATTGCCAATGCTACATTGTCGTCAGACTGTAGTCAATGGGTTCAGATGTTGCTGTTGTATTAAACTCTCATCACACAACAGTTCTTTACCTCTTCAATATATAGCATAGATTCTGTGTTAAAGGACTAGCTAAAGGTAATATATTATATAGGGCTGCTCCCTAATAGTCAAGTCTTAGTCGAGCCACTTTTCATTAATAGGATAGTTGTAGAAAAACAGAAAAAATGTCAAACTCGATTCGGTAGCTGAAATCAAAAGTGTCATTCTTTGTGTTGGCTGTATGTCCGAATTGAATATCTTCTAGTGAAAGGTAGGCTGTTTAGCATAAATAAAGGAAACAATACAAAATATGAATTATCTGCCATCTTTATATTACATGAATGGCTCCAACTACGAATGTCCCCAAACTGATCTCACTGATCGGTATGGAGGTATTTCTAACTGATCAGTATCAGCTATATCGAGCTTTATTGACCTGACCCAATCTTTTGATTTACGTCAGCTGTCAGACAGCTGTTTACTTGCGAAGCTTTCATGCACGGTGCAGCTATCCTCA